CAATCCAATTTTGCAAACATTATTTTCTCTCTTTTTTTGGAAATGCAAGCAAGCTAATTTTGCAAACGTTATTTTCTCTCTTTTTTTGGAAATGCAAGCAAGCTAATTTTGCAGACATTATTCTCTCTCTTTTTAGATTGCAACTCCCAGAATCTGGGTGTTGCAATCCAAAAACCAAGATGCTTCAGTGCAACCTCTTCCACCGTGATGGTCGACTCCGAAAAGAGACAGACAAGCCCAGGTGGTGCCCAGGAAGAGACTCCATCTCAGCGATCTGGCTTTAGCCAGGAGAAAGAGGGAGGATTTGCATCCCTCTCTGACTCGGCATGTTATTAATAGAAGCCCCTGTCCCATGTTCCCCTGCGCCTTCGGCCATTCAGGAATCCCTGGGGTGACCGGTGCCAAGATGCCTCCATCGCTCCACTTTCTGTATACATGCCACTCTTTAGCATGGCACAAAGCCAGTCCTCTGCTCCATAGAGCCTTATTCAGGGTTGAGACCGCAGCCCAGAGAGCATGACATGTAGTACAAGTTCCTTTTTTCTTTCTTTCTTTCTTTCTTTGATGGAAGACAAAGACAGCTAAGTTACAAACTGCAGCCTTTCTTATTCATCAATACGTGTACAGTTGGCCCTCCACATTTGCAGCTTTGCCTTTTGCGGATTTGATTCTTTGCAGTTTTGATTAATGTGTTCTCTCTAGGAATCCTCCAGCGCAGATCTGCCAGAATTTGACCATAGAGTTGTATTCAGGAACCAAGCGGTTCCTAGAGAGAACACTTCTCTAGGCATTTGCAGGTCCTCCGGCATGATTCCATGATCAACATCTGGCAGATGTTGATCACAGAGTTGCATCGGAGGCCCTGGAGATTCCTAGAGAGGTGTTCTCTCTTAGGTAAAGAGATCTTGTAGCACCTTTGAGACTTAGGGTCTCTGAAGGCGGCGCAAAGCACCGTCTTGGCGGCACAGAAGGGGAGGGGCTGCGCATGGCGGCCACCTCAACCCCTCCCCGAGGATGTCATCAGGGCATGTGCCGTTACGCATGGCGCGTGCCCTCAAAACGTCTTCCCGGTGCAGCGTCTTCACGTGCTGCGCTGGAAGAGGCGCAGAAGAGCTGCGCGGCGGCGCTTGATGCATCCCTTTTGCCAGCTGTAGAAGGACCGGCATTTTAGCGCTCCTTTCAGGGCCGGCAGAAGGGAGGATTGGGGCTGAGGCGTGGGGCAGCCTTGGCCCCAATCCTCCACTTCCCAGGGCAGTCCATGGCCTCCCATCTGCATCCCCCCAACTGAAAGAAAGAAGTTGACAGCAGGAGCTTTCGTATGCATCTGAGGAAGTAGACTGTAGTCTAGGAAAGCTCCTGCTGCCAACTTCTTTCTTTCAGTGAGGGGCTATGCCGTTCTGGGGCTGGAGTCGGGGCATGGCGACCACACGCCGGCTGCCGCAACTCCGCCCCAACACCGCCATCATGTCACATGCCCCATCGCATGGCGGGCGGCCTCAGGGCGTTCCCTTGGCGCAGCGTACAGACATGCTGGACTAATGGAGCATGGAAAAGCCGCCGCTGCCGCCACTGTGGCAAGGGCGACGGCATTTGCCAGCTCTTTTTGGAGCAGCAAAGTGCCAGATCGGGGCCGTGGCGTGCACTTGCAGTGGCCCCGATGCCGCGCTCCCAAGGGCGGCATGGAGCCACCCCTTAGGGGCTGTCTGTGAAGTCCCTGAGTCTCAAAGGTGCTACAAGATCTCTCTACATGTTGATTTTACAGAGTAACACAGCTGTATCTTTGAATTAAACTGAGTAAATTTGCTCTTAAAAATAAGACTCTCTAATTCTAACAGGCCTTTGGAAACTGTGGCTGGATTCCACTATGGGATTTATGGGGGGTTGCAGACTGCCAGAAATATGCAAATTGAGTCCACTTTTAGGGTTAGGGTTAGTGCTAGGGAATCATGGGAATTGTTTTTTCCCCCCCCTGAGACATTGAGCCTTCTCTGTCAGAGAGCTCTGGTGCCACAATAAAATACAGTTCCCATGATTCCCTAGCACTAGCACTAACCCTAAAAGTGGACTCAATTTGCACTATTTCTGGCAGTCTGCAACCCCCCTTATGTCTTTTGGGGGGTGCATCTACATGATAGAAAGAATGCAGTTTGACACCACTTTAAGTGGTAATTGAGATCCAAAAAAGGTAACTTTTCCAAGGTCTGAGAAGCATAGTGTCTCGGAGGATGAATCTATACTGTAAAAATAATGCAGTTTGATGCCACTTTAAGTGCTGCAGCCCCATTCTATGGAATCCTGGGATCTGTACTTTTGTAAGGTCTTTAGCTTTCTCTGCCAAAGAGGGCTGGTGCCTCTCAAAAACGACAAATCCCAGGATTCCACAGGATGAAGCTATGGCACTGAAAATGGTGTGAAGCGGCATTATTTCTACAGTGCAGACGCACCCTAAGTGGACTCACGTCCATGAGAAACAGAACTGAGCAGTTTCACAATGCTTGTCTTCAGTAAAGGGTTGCAGTGATGTTTTTACATATTGGGGACCAGTAAAGTAATGGGACCAGTGTGCATGGGGAACGTCTGGTGCCCATTGAGGCAATGGCAGGGACCTAAATCCCTGGGCTCTGCCTAAGTATTAACTTACCATTGAGCACTTGAGGCAATCTGCTTACTGGACTTGGGAGCAACAGTTTTTAGGCTAATGGGTGGGACTGGTGGGATCCTCCAGATGTTTATGGATTGCAGCTCCCATCAGCTGTAACCAAGGCTGAGGAATGTCAGAAGTCGTAGGACTGTACCTTAAGGATCCCTTTCACATCACACAGTTATAGTAGTACAATTCCACTCTGCTATGGCAGCACCCAAGTATAGTTTGGTGAGGCATTATGGCTCTCTGGCTAAGATTTCCAAATACCTCTTCCCTGAACTGCAGATCCCAGAATCCCACGGGGCGAGGAGGCTCAACAGAGTAGTGCTCCCGATCTAGTGCTCGCCACAGTTAAGTCACTGTGATGTAATCCATCTCCTTGGACAATGGAACCTGATCCTTGGTCTGTTTTGCAGAGTGGCTACGTGACGCCAAGGACCAAGCAGCCGGAGGGTGCTGACCTCCTGGCCAAAAGCTGCCTCCAAAAGCACCCGCTGAGTTAAGATAGGACCGGATCAGGACCCAGGGCAATGGACGCAGTGCCAGCCCTTGGCTGCTCCTGTGACCAAATGTGGCAAGATGCAGACCCAACCTTCTTGACACCCACCTCTTCCTTCCTGCCATACAGAGCTGGGGAAAGCTCCTGTGCTTGCACTATAATTCCCAGATTCCACCACATTCCAAGGCAGAGTCTTCCACTGTCAAACAGCTCTTACGGTCAGGAAGTTCCTCCTAATGTTGAGGTGGAATCTCTTTTCCTGTAGTTTGAATCCATTGTGCCATGTCCTATTCCAGGGGTAGGCAACCTAAGGCCTGGGGGCCGGATGCGGCCCACCGAGACCTTTGGACCGGCCCAAAGCCAGTCCTGCCGCCGCTGCCGCCGCTGCCTGCCATGATGATATTGATTATTGTTGTTATTACTTGTTCTTGGGGTTTTCTTGGCAAAATATCCACACAGGGGTTTTGCCATGGCTTGTCTGGGGCTGAGAGAGTGTGCATGGATATTTTTAATTTTTTAAAAAAAATTATATTTATTTATTTATTTATTTTTGGTGCTTCGGCCCCCCAATTGTCTGAGGGACAGCAACCCGGCCCCCAGCTCAAAAAGGTTGCCTACCCCTGTCCTATTCTCTGGAGCAGCAGAAAACAAGCTTGCTGCCTCCTCACTATGACATCCACTAACATTGAGTTAATTCAAATACTTAAACAGGGCTATCCTATCATCGCTTAACCGTCTCTTCTCCAGTTAAACATATCTTGTTCCCTAAGTCTTTCCTCATATAAGGCATGGTCACCCTCCTCTGGACACGCTCTAATTTTTCAACATCCTTTTTGAATTGTGGCACCCAGAACTGGACACAACTATTCCATGCAGGTGCAGTATTTAGTTTAATTTGTTTGGCCTTCTCTGTTCCAACGTAACGCCGTTGATCTTCTTAATCTTTGTGAGCGTGCGTGGTTGTATGTTTGTGGATGATTGTTGATTTTCCTCTTGTAAAATAAACTGATTACACTCGCCCCTCCACATTTACAGGTTTGACTTTTGCGGATTTGATTATTCACGGATTTTATTGCTATGCTCTCTCTAGGAGTACCTAGGTCTTCTAGTGCAACTCTGTAGTCTGCTTTAACCAAAAGTTACCCTGAAGGACCTAGAGATTCCTAAAAAGAACGCTGCGCTAGGCATTTGTGTCTCCTCCAGCGCAGTTCTATGGTTAATGGCTAGCAGATGTTGACCACAGACTTGCACTGGAGGATCTAGAGCAGGGGTAGGCAACCTTTTTGAG